TATTTCATTTGCATCCTGATTTTGTGCTTAGACAAGCAATTTTTCAAAGTTGTTAATTAAAATATAAAATTAAATGTAAAAGCAGTCTATATACTACTAAAGCTCTCATGTTAATTGTTGTGACCTTCAATTGGATGAAACAGTATATGATAGGACAACAATTTTTGAATCAACATATCTCAAATGGGGTAACTTAAAGATTGCGGCCAAAATCTAGGACTCCCATGGAATTGAAATTGTGGCTGCTTTAATGCTATTACCCTGCTGTACTATCACAGTCAGCCACGGTCACATGATCGTAATTTCAACTGCTCTCTGTCAGTTTCATGCAAGGAAAAACAATGAGGAAGTTGCTCCTGCTCCCATTACTTTTTTGCTTGCCCATGGTCATTCTGTTTCTCTGTTTAGGTAGGGAAATATCCTAAAATGATGAGCCAATTGGTCACAAGTTGTATGCTTAATGATTAAAAGTCTGGTAAAAGAAATGCATCTTTATGGATAGTTTAAATTCTGAGAATATGGCCGAACACTATGCTAACAGCTATAGCCTGGGAGCCTGGAATCAAGATTTCCAGAAGGATCGTCTTCTGACTCCAGGAGTGTCTTTAGAGGGCCTTCTCCTGCAGCTTTTAACTGTTGAACTAAGGAAAATGTGGTCCCTCAAATAGACTGTAAGCCATTTTGAACTTCAAACCTGGGTTAACACAAAGTGCCACAGGTTATGCTCCAACAAAAAAGTCAAATTGTGGCTTAATGCGATTGGCCTGATTTATACAACATGTAAGACAGTGTCTGAATTCTTAAAATTATAAGCACAGTTCAGCCTGCTATGCAAACTCATGTCTTCCTTCATAGCCGGCTCAGCATAGAAGGGGAGGTGAGACCACCTGAGGTCAAGGTCAGGATCTGCAACTATCACATTATTTCACTAGTGGGATCAGCTTTGGCTATGCTACCATTCAAATATTCCCTTTTCTGGGCATGATTTTGTGCCTCACATTTTATCTCTTATCTCACTCAGTATCAGGCACTCATAGGCACAGGGAGTACTGCACCTAGTTTTTATATTTCTGTGAATCACCCTCATTGTAACAATGTTATTCATTGTTTTCTATTGCTGCCCTTGAGAACAGGGTACTATCACCCATGATCCTTAGACTTACATAATTTCCATCCTTTGAAAACATTACCTACACAGAGAGGGACTTGGGATATATGGTGTAGGAAGAGAGCTACAAAAATTCTGTTAAGGAAAGTATAGATTTCTGCCTTATAATAGCTACACCAATTTTTACTAGAATTCATGTATTCCAAAAGCTTTCCCTTAAGTATGTGAAAAGTTGTTTGTTTGAATCACACCAAGATTCACCTAATCCACCAATCAACAGACACAAGGTGGCCCACCAAGAATGGCCAATCGTCTCTATTCTGCCTATGGTCTAAGCCAGAGGTAGGCAACCTTGGCTCTTTTATGACTCGTGGACTTCAACTCCCAGAATTCTTCAGCCAGCCATGCTGGCTCAGGAATTCTGGGAGTTGAAATCCACGAGTCATAAAAGAGCCAAGGTTGCCTACCCCTGGCTAAGCCTTCACTTCATCCGCGCAGTCATATACATACATATATACATACATACACACACACACATTCCAAGCACCTGCCTTCATCCTGCTGTAGACCGTGGAGATGGGCATGACTTTATGCTGCTGATGGGTGCCAATGGTGCCACAGAGGCCACAAATCACTTCCTGGTCTTGCTCACAGAAAAGGCTGAGGGGATTGTGGTGATCAGGGCAAGAGTTTTGATTATCATCTGAGTTGCCTATGGCATGAATTGCCTCAATGATGCGAGCCAAGTTGACATTGGGTGGTGATCTGCTATAGTCCACAGCCTTTCGGCATACTGGGCAAAGGAACTGTTTCTCCAGATCACCTGAGAGGGATACCACACAGGACTTGCAGTAAGAGTGTCCACATTGTAGCATCAAGGGCTCTTTGAAGAGCTCTAAGCAAATAGGGCATATCAATTGGTCCTCAAGTTGATCAATACTCAATTTCCGTGCCATTTGGCTGATTTACTTCTTCTTTCCTTGGCTTAATCCTCGAAGATCAATGCCCAAAGGGAATAGACATCAAAGGTGGATGTAGCTGAGGAGAAGATAAGAATAGCCCTTCCTTCTTCCTACTTATCTCCTGCAATAGGCAATAAAAGGAAGGATAGAGAGATTAATACAATCTTGGGGTACAGGAAGAAAAAAGTACCCTAAAACATACACTCAGGAAAGTAATAACAAACTAAGATTAAGGAACTTTGAGAACTTCTGGATGTCACAGGTTTGGGGAGGAAAAAAGCTGAAAGCGTAATGTTCAGTTAACTGCTATTCCATAACTATCAAGAGGAACAAAACAACTTCTGCCCTCCTTGCTACTTTGTTTTGGAAACATTAAAAAAATATTTTGGGATCTCAGCAGCTACAGATAGTTGCCTAAAAGTAATGCCTAAGTATTCTGAGAAATTCTGCTGTAGAGCTGATAAAATAATGGCATATGTTTTGCTAATATTGTTGACAAATGTATGATTAATTTAGGACATTTAAATGCCAGCCCAAAATATAAATGATCTGGGAGTATAAATGTCCAAAAAAGAATCTCGGAGAGGAATGAGGAATAACAGATACAGTATATCAGGTACTAACTAGAAGGAGGTAATGTTTTCAATTTTGTACATTTTGTTGATGACCAAATTCAGTTTTCTGAATCACATGTGCCCTTTGCCCCAAGCTGCAGACATATTTGGAAACTGTGCTCTCTACAGATCCCCCCGCCATATAAATGTTTCTATTTATGAAACCTTGGTTCACAAGAAGCACTGGCCCTGAAATCAGTTCATGGAACAAACTAAACTGAAAGTAAATGCGACAAACTTCAAAATAATAAGAAAAAAATATTATCAAGAAGGAAAATAGTAGTCTTTCAATATTTTATGGCAGGCATCCTCAACCCCCGGCCTGCACAGCTGGAGGTAAGCGGCGGGCGAGTGAGAGAAACCGAAACCATCCCCCCAGTCCGTGGAAAAATTGTCTTTTGGTGCCGCTGTTTTATTGTAAGATGAGGAGTGGAAATTGAAGAAAGTACCTTCCAAGGGGTTCCAACAGTCACATAGACCAGATCTGTTCATAATCTTTCTATCAAGGTATCCCACCTTTTCTATTTATATTAACTCTTGAATATTCAAAAGTACATGACCCAAAGCATATGCTTTGTTATATGCACCGCAATTCTTAGGGCAGGCAAGTCTCACTGCCTCTTTACATTGTACAAAATGAAAACCAATATCCACGGATATCTAACTTTTGATAATAGTTTGGGTCAGTGGTCTGAATCTATTACCAATAGGATGTTTTGCTGAAATTTCATTGGAATCCTTCTAGGAGCAACATCACCTTCACCCGCAGACCACATCTTTCTCAGTTTCTATATTTTCTAAACCCATCAGAGTGAGAAGTCAAAGAAAATATCCCTACCTTTTACAGCTCAGCTGCTCTTCTTTTAGTTTCTTCTCCTGTAATCAGAGTATTTCTAGACAAACCTCTGTACATGATATTAAGGCTTCCTGTTGGATAATTCTTTTACTATGGTAGATTTCAGACTTCTCCATCAAAAGTGACAAGGAAAGCCTCTCTGTCCAGTTTCAAAAAGAGAGCTTCTGGAGTTGATGGCCCTCTGTTCAGGGGAGGATCTCCAGAAAGCAAACTGCAGTGGCAACCACCTTTTCAGTCATGTGCTAATCCTTGGCACTTGTAGAGGCAACTCCCCAGCTACATCGCTGACTGACCAATGTATACTTGGAAAACTGGAGACAAACAAACCCCAAAGTCTTTCCTTGAATGTTCACCTTGTAGAACAGATTTCCTTGTCCTCTTCACCGTAATATATGTAGATATTTATACACCCTTTCTTAGTCCTCATCATATTCTGAAGGTTGACACTGCATCATATAATTTATATTTAATGGGTGTGATTCAAACAGTCCTTCACAAATTGTGATGAAGGTAAACTGAACTGAAAAGCCACACCAATTAATTAAATTCCTTTAGATTTACATTTACAGCGTGTACATTCATTAAGATCCCCCTTCCCTTCATAAAAAGGATTGACATTATCAGTCCTGCATATCTGGGACCTGCCTTTTGACTTCAGAGAAATATTTTTCTATCCTTAAATAGGACTTTAATCACATAGGAGCTCCTGATATTCTAGATCAGCCTTGTTTGACTTGGTGTGTTAGCCTGAGTTTGCCGAGCATTGCTGAGCATTAGAGGAGTTAGCTCATGTATATGGTTGGAGATGGCTACTGTATGCATAGATTCTGTCCAAGGGACTGTTCCACATTACACTGAATCTGGAATTAAGGAAAAACTTCCTGACAATGAGAACAGTTAACTAGTGGAACAGCTTGCCTCCAGAAATCGTGGGTGCTCCATCACTGGAGGTTTTTAAGAAGAGACTACTAGACAGTCACTTGTCTGAGATGGTATAGGTTCTCCTGCTTGAGCAGGGGGCTGGACTAGAAGACCTCCAAGGCCCCTTCCAGCTCTATTCTGTTCTCTTTAGTACTATCTATGAACTTGATTCTTATAACCAGTTCTTGGTAACTTGGTAACTTTAAGACTTGTGGATTTCAACTCCCAGAATTCCTCAGTTCCAGCAGGCAGAAGTGAGAGAACTCAGGACGCTTCTCCGAACTTATTGTCTTTCACTCAATTTAAGCTTACCCTTATTTTTTACGGACGTGGAGTGATGGCTGCAGTAAAACTGAACATTCCCCATTCATTTCTGTGCGTGGCATTTTGCTTTAGTTCAGAAACAAAAAAGTAATCTCGAAACTCCTCGAGTTGAACGCTTGATGCTGTGGAACTAACATAGCTCTATGAAAGCCTCCCTGCTTTACGCACGCGCAGTTCATTTCTTTGCTGAACGCGTGCGCACCTGAGGCTCCCAGAGTCCGGGTCCAAACAACCCGAGCATGATGCGGCAGCGCCGGCAGGGAAGTGGCGCGGCGCTTGGTCTTTATGGGGTCGCTGCTTCAATCCTGGCAAGGCTGGAGCGTCGGGAAGGTTCCCTTAAGACTCTCGTCTATGGAAGTCACTTCCCGGTAAGTTGACGGTCTTTGTACAACTTAAGAGTTTAATAAATAATGGGGAGTGGGGGTGGGTAATAGATCCTCCACGTGTGACGATAGACTATCTTTTTAGTGCTAGCTATGGGACGACAGTTACCTTCGTGTGTACTTGTGGTTTTTTTAGGAAGCGAGCTTTTTGAAGGAGTTTAATGAATGTTTTGGGTGTAATTTAAAACAAATTTTCTTACGCTCAAAATGTGGAGAAAAGCAAAGTTTTACATTTAGGCAGGAAAAATCAAAGATATAAGTACAGATTAGGTGAGACCTGCTTCAAAAACAGTTAACTATGAGACGAACCTAGTGGACGATCACTTAGCAGCAGCCAAAAAGGCTAATACAATCCTGGGTTGCATAAACAGAAGCATAGAACCAAAATCATGCGAAGTATTAGTACAGCTTTATAAAACCCTAGTGGGACCACACCTTGAGTACTGCAACCAATTTGATCACCATACTACAAAAAAGATGTTGAGACCTTGGAAAAAGTTCAGAGAAGAGCAACTAAGATGATCCAAGGCCTGGAGACTAAAACACGAAGAACGGCTGCAGGACTTGGGGTTGGCTAGTCTAGTGAAGAGAAGGACCAGGGGTGACATGATAGCAGTAGTCCAGTATTTGAGAGGCTGCCACAAAGAAGAGGGGATCAAATTATTCTCCAAAGCACCAGAGGGCAGGACAAGAAACAATGGTTGGAAACTGATCAAAGAGAGAAGCAACCTGGAATTAAGGAAAATGTTTCTAACAGTGAGGACAATTAACCAGTGGAACAGCTTGCCCTCAGAAATCATGGGTGCTCCATCGCTGGAGGTTTTTAAGAAGAGACTGGACAGTCATTTGTCTGAGATGGTATAGGTTCTCCTGCTTGAGCAGGCGGCTGGACTAGAAGACCTCCAAAGTCCCTTCCAGATCTATTCTATTCTACAAAATGAGGAGCGATGATGCAAAAATGTGCTGGCTATATAGTGTTGTATACATTAATGTGCTTGTGATAGGTTAGCAATGTCCTCAAATTGAACTCGATGCATTAATGTTATACAGTTTCTTGGAACAGTACAGATGTAGTTTGCACTGAACTCCTCCTGGATATTTTCAACTTCTTTGCATAATCTACAAACTTGGAATTCTGTGGTAGTCTCCCATTCCAGATGTAAACCAGTCCAGCCCTGTTTAATCTTAGTACAGAGAAGATCAGATGCTGCTGTGTTTTGACAAACAACACATTTACCATGGCTAATTAAACCATAATTTATGGAATTAAATACAATTTCCCAAATTTGCACAGTACTTTGAATAAAATATTCACTACGCATGGTACTTGCAGGCTGAAGTATGGTAGCTACTTTTTGATTAAAAACATTGGACAAATTGAGTCCTTATTTTAAAGAGAGAAAACTGCATTCATAATTTAATGTGATTAAATATATGCCAATTAATAGGGACTCTGAAGAGCCATATAGATGATCCAACCTGGCCTTCGACTCTTCTAATTGTGTATCCATCAACACTACAATTGAGTCCATCTACTTTGTGTCTAGTAGGTCTTTACATAATGTGTCCAAAATATAATTTGAGCCTGGTTATTGTACCTCAAGTGAGAATTCTGGGTTGATTTGTTCAATGATGCTTTGTTTTTTTTCCCTGGCTATCCATGGTATTCTCCAGAGTTTTGTCCAGCACCAAAATTCAAAAGTGTCAATACTCTTTCTATCCTGCTTCTTCAAAGTCCAACTTTCACTTCCATAGAGTGTTTCAGGGAATGCCATTGCTTGCACTATTCCGATCATTCTAGATTTTGACAAATCACAGCATCTGAATATTTTTTTAAGATCTTCATGGCTGCTGTACCAAGTGCTAGTCTGTAGTTCATTTCTTGACTGCTTGTTCCTTTACTATTGGTTGATCCTAAAAAGCAGAACAATATACCACTTCAGTATCTTCAATGCCAACTCTAGATCTGGTTGCTGTACTTATTGACATGAGTTTTGTCTTCTTTATATTTAATTGTCCTCATTTTCTTTATATTCATCTTTGAGGGAGATGGGTGATTCAGAAATGTGAAACATTAAATAACTAAATAATGTTAATCCAGGTTTTTTTTTCACTTTCACTGACTTTCCTTACATGAGATTGCAGACCATATGCATTGTCAGTTATCAGAGTAGAATCCTCAGCATAATGCAAGTCATTGATATTTTTTCTTCCAGTTTTAAAACCACACTTTCCCCCCTCAATATATGCTTAGCATATAGAACAGACATGTCAAACTCGCGACGTCGCGCAATGTATCGGGAGAGTTTTGCCATTGCCGGCAATGGGGTGGGGTGCGGCTTCCGCATGACACGTCCGGCCAATGGGCCGGCAGTTTGACACCTCTGATATAGAATGAGTAAATAAGGAGAGAGTATACAACCTTGTCTCACTCCTTTGCTGACCTGGAACCAATCTTTTCTGCTGTGTTCCATCTGGATTGTGGCTTTCTGTCTTGTGTCGAAGACACAATGTTTTGGGATTCTCATTTTGCTAAGGACCTTCCATAGTTTTACAGTTTATTTTGTTAGCATGTGAAACTAAGGATACCATGTGATAGTTTCCACAAACTGTTAAGTCTCCCTGTTTTGGTTTTGGTAGGTAAACTGGCCTCTTCAAATATGTTGTCCACTGTGTGATCTTCCAAATTTGTTGGCATTGTTTGCTTAGTATCATTATCAATTCTTCTGATTCCATCAACAATGTTCCTTCCTTTTGCAGAATACCCGGCTGCTCTATGCACTCATTTCAGAAACACTTCGCTATTCTTCTGTACTGGATTCCATCATAGATGCTGCTGGTTTGTTCTGTGCTGAAAAAAAGCTGCAGCCACATCTGGCCAAGGTGAACTGGTATGACTATTCCTTACGAGAAAGGTTGAAGCCATTTTTCTTACAAGCTAGATTCCATGGAGTTGCTTTCATTTGGTAACTGCAGGCACCATTCTGCATGGAAATACACAATCCGTGGCTTGTAAGTGACTTCAACCCTTGGGTTGCTCATATGGACAGATTTGGGGGAATCTGCAACAGCAGACCCTTTTTCTGGTCCCTGATAAGACCTTTGGAAATGGAGAGTGGAACAATGAGAGAAGGGAAAGTCCAACAGTATGAATGGGGTGGAATGTAGAAAAAGCATACAATGTCAGCTATTTGGGTTTTTTTCTCTCTTTCACTGTTTTCTCTTGCCTCCAGAAGTTGTCCATCCATTTTAAGAAGAAATTGGATAGCCATTTGTCCGGAATGGTATAGGGTCTCCTATTTAGAGCAAAGGGTTGGACAAGAAGATCTTCAAAGTCCCTTCTAACTCTATTATTCTGTATTCTATTCTGTATTCTTTCTCTCTCCACCCAAGCCATTTCTCAGGGATTTGTGGGAGACAAGGGGTTACTGTTACCCAAATTCATTAGTCTGTTTCTTAAATGTGCTGTTCATATTACTAGGAGATTATTGCAATGGGTAGAATAATTAGTGTGGTATAATGGTAAAAGTGTTGGATTAGGATTGAGGATACTCAATTTCCCTAAGCCATCAAAAGTCATTGGGCCCATCCTTTCTCAGCTCAGGTTGTAATTTGAGCATATAGATAATTCAATAATTATATTCACAAGCCCATATAATATGTCTTGAGCTTGTGGAGAAAAAGTATCATTTAATTATGACAAGTAAATATATCCATGACTCAAACAATATTAGGTGTGCCTTTCAGTGCCTTCTTTCATTCTGTCTTACTGACATGTCTTACTGAAGACGTGTTCTTACTTCCTTGCTGATGCTATCCAGGTGTGGCCTGTGCATCTTCCAGATCTTTAAAAAGCTTTCCTGGAATCAATACAGCAGGTATCTCCTCAATCCAATCCAGTTGGATGTAGAGCCAGGTGATCCACTCTTGGGCTCAGATCCAAGCTATTTTCTCCTGCTCCTTTCCTTTCTTAGGTGCTGGTATATGACTTACTCATTGGCAAGGGGCTTCGTGGTGGAGGACGTGGGAAGGTCCTAGTATTGAAGCATCATGCACGTCTCCAGGCTGAGCTTGCCCGCTTGAAAGTCCAGAAAAAAGTGAGCCGCAATGAAGATCTTCTGCCACCAGCTGGAGACTCGGACAAAGGTAGATGCTTGGAATTTTTGGAAGAGGTCAGAGGTCGAATTTAAATAGACCGCAGTGTTATATCAGCTGAAAAAAATAAGAATAAAAACTTTGCAGCTTTTGGAAAGCCTGTCTAAAGCGTTTGGCCAAATGTGGCAGCAATAGTGCAGGCTTTAATACCGTGCGTCTGACACTAGGGACAACTAGTCAGCCAGCCAAAGTTGGATTTGTGTATGGTGTTAAGTCATAATGAGATTTATTCGGTTTGGCTTCATGTGTTGTGTGAACCAGCCATTATGGTTCATAAAATATGGTTTATGAATTACTGTGCTGACTGAATCCAGAAAACTGGAAGCTACTCAGGCCATGATGAAACCAACTAAGTGTAACGTGTGAACGAGGGCAATGCCTGTGAATAGCTTTCTTCCAATCTGGCTTCAGTCTGTATTCTGGCTATGTGAGGTGATGTTCTTGCCAGATCAAAATGGATACAAAAGACAAAGCAGTTACATGTTATGGAAAACCCAGGAACTGGATTTCAGAAGATCCCTGTCTCTTTGTTTCCCAGCACTTCAGATGCCGCGCTATGTACGGGTGAACTTACTGAAGACATGTGTGGATGATGTCGTTGATTACTTCAAACGCCAGGGTTACTCTTACCAGGGCAAAGCAGGCCGGTTAGTTTAGTCTTCTCCAACCTCTATGCTCCGTATCTCAGGAACAGGCAGGCTCTCTGTCTGCAGACTGTAATGTTGCAAACTTGGGGGAATCAGCAGTTGCTCACTGTTCCTCCTCTCATGTGCAGCCACAGGGAAGAGACTGAAAGCCTGCGTTTTCATATCTGCAGTTCATCCTAAAAAACTAAGTAGAGTCCAATCTGGTTACAATGGATGAGACACAACCAGGAAATGTGAGGACTTTAGGCTAGAGCAGTGATGGCGAACCTTTTAGAGACCGAGTGCCCCAAAACTGCCCCGCCACCACCCTGCCCCCTGCCCCTCCTCCGCCCTGCCACCCACCCTCAGGGCCACCCACCATGGCAGCCATGCCCTCCGCCCGCGCCCCACAGCATCACCTATGCGTGACGGGGCACAAGGGCGGAGTCTTGCCCGGCTGCCATGTCCTTGGCTGTGCTGCTCCACACAGGCCACACCCGGGGACAATTCTCCTCTGGGGGGGGCTGCTGGTGAGGAGGGGGCCGCGGGAGGAGGCGGGGTTGGGGCAATGGCACGCGTGCCCACAGGGAGGGCTCTGAGTGCCACCTCTGGCACGCGTGCCATAGGTTTGCCACCAGATGACATAGACATGCCTGTGCGGCAAACTTGGCTTGAAGGAGACTTATGTTTGCTTAAAACTAGCTTGTGCTCACTAGCTATAGTTAAGCTGAGTTTACCCCAGTAAAGGGTAACAAAAGATGCTGCAGTTGGCACCCTTACTCGATTTGGGGTCAGATTGAAAGAGGAAAAAGGGTCTGGGGTCTGGGGGAAGTTAGTTTTCATCCTCATAATACAAAAGTAGACCAAATACATTTCTGATTGCAACTCTGCATCAATTTATCCAACTCGCAGGGGTAGGCAACCTTGGCTTTTATGACTTGTGGACTTCAACTCCCAGAATTCCTGAGCCAGCATGGCTGGCTCAGGAATTCTGGGAGCTGAAGTCCACAAGTCATAAAAGCCAAGATTGCCTACCCCTGTCCAAGTTTGTCTCTCCCCTCCCATAAGCCCTTTCTTGAGGCAACTTTTGCTGGCTCTTTTATCTCTGATCCTGCTTTTCTGCTGCAGAGCAAGAGGCTTTTGACAAGAGACGAAGTATCTCTCCACATTACTTACCCGATAGATACTTTCTTCATTGATGGACAGGCTTATTTGTGTCATGCTGCTTGCATTCAGAGAGCTTGCATTCAGAGAGCTTAGCTTGGTGAAGAAGCAATAGCTTTCCATCTTTATTACTATCATTTTCAGTATGGAGGAAGTGATCTTATCCGGGAAGAAATTCCTGCTGGACCTCCATCTTCCTGACCTGCTGATCTTCCGTCCTCAGACAGACCTTCATGAGAACCAGCTCTATCAGGCTGGACACATCATTCTCCAGGACAAAGTGAGTGTGGCTGGGGTAGGACATGATGGCCTAGTCCAGTGATGGCGAACCTTTTAGAGACCGAGTGCCCAAACTGCAACCCAAAACCCATTTATGCATCGTCGGGTGCCGGGTGGGTGTGGCCCATTGGGTGGGTGTGGCCCATTGTGTGGGCGTGGCTGCAGTGGTAACGGCAGACTGGGTGGGACTAAAAAGTTCAATCAATCAATTCCAACTTTGCAAGATCTTTTTTTCCCCCGTGAGAAGTTGAAATTGACTGATTGAACCTTTTTTTTTTTTGCGCACGGCGGCGGAGGCCTAAAGCGAAAAGGTTTTATAAAACCCAGCTGAAGGCCTAGGACTGGGGCGACGGCGTGCATGCCCAAAGAGAGGGCTCCGAGTGCCGCCTCTGGCACCCGTGCCATAGGTTCGCCACCCCTGGCCTAGTCCCTCCACCTGGATCAATGGGAAGGGCTGGTGGAGTTGTTGAGCTGCCAGCTGATCTGCCTTGATGAAGTTGCCCAACACAGTCAGACTCTTTGATGGCCTCCCTCTTCCTTCCAAGTGCTGGTTTCAGGCGTTTACACTTTATGCTATTGTTTTGAAGTGTTCCCTATTTCATCTTGCGATACCTTATCACTTTTCATTTTGTGATAAATCCTCCAGATGAAATATAAAAATGTCTGCTTAGCTTTAATAAGCTGTTACTTGCCAAAAAGAGAGACAGAAATATATATTTTTTACTATAGGCATGAATGTAGTGGGCATTACATGTTTCTTGACAATGTTTGAGAAGCTGCTATTGAGGCTGGGGGATATGGAACGAGGGTGATGGGCCTGCCATATATGGATAAGTGCATTTATCTCGTGTGTGTGTGTGTGTGTGTGTGTGTGTTAATCCTAGGCCAGCTGCCTCCCTGCCTTTCTCCTGAATCCTACTCCAGGGTCCCATGTGATCGATGCCTGTGCTGCTCCTGGCAATAAAACCAGCCAGCTGGCTGCCATCATGAAGAACAAAGGGTAAGGGGAAGGAAGGGTAGTACCATGTATATATGAAAATGTTTTAGGCAACATTCTAGGGTACAGAGTCCTCTCTGGCAGTTTACAACACAATAATAATTTCTATAAAGATCCGGGTGATAATGATAATGTAGCATTTGCATTAGGCTTCCAGAAAGACCTGGAATAGATTTTGGGAGCACCTGTTCTCTAGGTTTGCATGGTATTAGCAAGCCCCCCCCTTCCCCCATTTTTCCCTCTCATCTAGTGAATTTTGCAGATCTGATTGGTGAATTGAAGGTTGCTCAATTCTTAATCCCTACCTCTGGTGCTGCTTAGCATTATGTATCTGCTTTTCCAGCTTCCTTTTGCTCCAGACAATCTCCTTTGTTTCTTCCTTCTGGAAGCAGAGGTGGAGAATTTCTGCAGCTTCAAATCAGCCCCCCTCCCCCCCAACAATATATTCCTTCTGTAGATCTCCTTGCTATAGTCACCTAAATTTCATCCCAGTTGCAGGTTGATTTTTTCTAAAAAAAAAACCAAACACTTATGGTTGACTGGTATGAGAAAGGATAATACAATCTCAAAAATCTTTTCTACATTTCTTAGCTGCTTAGTATCTGCAGCCTCAATTCACCAATCAGATCTGCAAAATCATCTTCCAGCAGCTCTCAGTTCTGCAACCTTTCTCCTTCCATAGATTTTTACATTTAAGATAAAGCAATTTCTACTACTGGAAAAATAGTAGTTCTCTATATTCTCCAAATAATATTCAACTATTTCCAATGTGTTAAAGTTTAAATTATTATCTAAAATATGCCAGTGATCTTTATAGAAACCATGGGATACAGTCATAAATATTACAGTACTTTTTTTAGTTTACTCCCAAATTTGCAATTTTCATTTGCAATTTATTTTTTGGGATTTAGGCGAGAAACCCCTGAGACAATTGTGCTTGGCTAAATATGAGTCATTCCACAGTTTGCAGCTGTTTGTTTAGTATAGACTTTGATCACAGCTTAATTCATGTAAATAATCATATTTATGCAAAACAGCCTTCTCTCAAGAAATTCTTAAGCAGAAAAAAAATATCTATCTTACCTGCCTCTTAAATTACTTGATGAAACTCTTATTTTGTAATATTCATATATTTATGTTTGTCATTCTGCATCAATTTATCCAAAAGTGTAAATTAAAAGAATGATCATCTGAGGAAATCTCCACTGGATTTTGTTGGAGGTTTTATAAATACACTAAATAACATATTGCTTGTTTATAAATGAAACATTAAGAGCATTCAGTCAGGTCTGGGTTTGCTAAGAAAGTTTATGTTGTTTAAATTTAACATTTTCATCATTTTTTTTACCATGGCCTCAACATTTTGGGAAAGTTTACTTTTGTAATCTAGAGGGGCTTGTGTCTATAGTTGGATTCATACAAATCATTCTAAAATGAATTTTGTTTGTTTTTAATTGGCTTAGTATGTTGCATGAATCCAGTCATTGCAGATTGTGAATTAATACTGTGTTGTGAACCCAACCAGTTGAGTATCTTCAGCAGAGAAAGAACCCATAATATTTGTGACCCTAAGAACACTACCTGAACAGTTTTGAAGGTTGTGAGTTCTATGGAGATTCTCAGTCTTCCAGGTCACGGTTTTGCCCACTCCCCCTCATACTGTCTATGCTATGGGATGACAAAATAATTAAAGTGTATCCTTATAAGCCACAAGAATATGGTTACCTTGGGAACCCAGTCTATATTTTTGTTGGTTTAATGACAAAAGTAACTATTGGCTGCAAAACTACCATTATCTTTTGTAATGTAACTCCTGGATACCCTTCAGACAGAGGGATGAACTTTGAAGAAATAAGCTTCCAGTCTTTGTAGGTTTCTGGATGAGGCAGCTCTCATTTGATTCTTCCAACTAGAAAGCAAAAAGAAGTCAGGTTAGAGAAAATAGATCCTGTCTTCTCAAGTCTGTCCTTTGGAATGCCCTGTAGATGACTAAGCTTTGGATCACTTACCTTGGAAAGGGAAAAACTGCTTGTGGTGAAATTACTGTTTTTCACCTTTGTCTCCTGTGGAGGTCTCTGATCCATGGCCAGTCAAAACTTCCTTCCATCTCTTGAAATGCAGACAGATCTTTGCCTTTGATCTCGATGCCAAGCGGCTGGCCACCATGAGCACTATGTTGGTACGGGCAGGGGTCACCTGCCATCAGCTGACACACCAAGACTTCTTAGCAACAGATCCCACTGACTCCAAGTACAGCAAAGTGAGATACATTCTCCTGGATCCTTCATGCAGCGGTTCGGGTGAGTAAGGGTGGAGGTGGATTTCCAGCTTGGACTTATATTAAATACAAGCTTATTAGGAAAACGGATGAGAGATCATCAAGGTATTTTCTCCGCAGCCTGGAATTGCAACAGTCAAGAACATCCTAAAAGCCCCAAGGCCACACATCGTGCCTTTTTATCCAAGATGGGAAGTTGACAGCCAATTAGAGCAATTGGAAATGGGTTTTGGGAGGAGGGCCATTTATGATTTGACTCTCAGATATAATGATGATTTTTTTCAGATTAAGTGTAATGGAACGGAGCTGATCTGGGTTTGTATACATAGATTTACAAGTAAATTTTAAAAATATAACTATATGGTTCCAGAGCCAAATTTCTACTTCCCCAGGTAAATAAAGACGGGTACCTTTAGGTAGATATCAAGACTGAGAGCCCAATATATACCAGTGTGCTGCCTCCCTGGAGGCCACGTTTCGACAGCTACTGATGCGTATGATGTCTGTTTCTGTGGCAGGTATGGTCAACCGCCTGGCAGAGGAGGAAAGCACCTCCCTGCCTATGCGACTGCAGGCACTTGCTGGGTTCCAGCGAAAAATGCTGGCACATGCATTGCAGTTCCCTGCCCTTCAACGGCTGGTTTATTCCACATGCTCGGTGCACAAAGAGGAGAATGAAGATGTGGTGAAAGATGTGTTGGAGCAGGAGGGAGAAGCCTTCAGGTATAAGAAGGTGGTTAAACCAGGGTCTGCCTTCCTGGAGCTGGTAGAGCTTGGGCTGCAAAGTGGGTTGGGTCTTCCTTGCTGCTATTTAAGGATTGCTGGTGGAAAGGACTGTATACAGCTAGAAGTCTCTTGGAAATCAGTATAGATCATCCTCTTCATACCTGATGCCCTCCTAGTGTGTAGACTTGCAGCTGTCTCATGTTTCCAAACATGATCAAACTAACTGGATTTCTCCAGTGCTTTCATCTCGCTGGCCGTTCATGACAAATACATTTGAAAACAACAATCCTTCTATCTTCTATTTTAGGGGCTGGGGCAGTTGGGGACAGGGACGACATTTTCCAGTTTCATAGCCATTAGGAACTAAAGCTTCTTAGTTAAACGCAACTCTTGGTGACTTCAGGGATATTCCGTGTAGGTACCATGGCGGCAGCATAGCAGTGGTTTGCTATTGCCATTGTCCAGGATGTTAGATTTCCCAGTCTAGATCGCTACCTGGTATTTCCTGGTGACCTCCCATTCAAGAATAACAAGGTCTGGACCCCAGATCAGCCAAGATGTTAGATGCTGCCACGCAGCTGATTAGACAATTTTGAAAGATGGAAGTTTGCTTCCTGAGTACGACTGCACGGTAGTAGGCACCAGTGTAAAAAGGACAGGGAAGCGCTGAGTTCTTAAAGTACTTCTCTGCTTTTCTTCCTTGGAGATTGGTAGAAGTCCTGCCATCCTGGACCCCTCGTGGCTTGCCTGTTTTTCCTGAAGCTAAGTGCTTTCTCCGAGCATCGCCAGAAGAAACGCTGACTAATGGATTCTTTGTAGCAGTGTTGGAAAGGAAGCAGCACACAGAAGCACGTGCTGCAAGGTGAAAGAATGCTCTCTTTGTACTCTATACAGCTAGTCCTTGATTTACAGCTATTTGTTTTGTGACTCTTCAAAGTTAGCAATAGCATGGGAAAAAGTGGCTTATGACCAGTTTTCATTTAACGACTATTGCAGCATTCCCACGGTCATGTGATCAAAATTTGGGTGTTTTGGCAACGGGCATGTATTTATGACAGTTGCACTGTCCTAGGGTCATGTGATCACCATTTGCAAACTTCCCAGCCGGCTTCTGACAAGCAGTCAACGAGGAAGCTAGATTTGCTTAGCAAATGCATGATTCACTTGACAATTGTAGTGATTCGTTTTACAACTGTGGCAAAAGTTGCAAAATCAGGCACAACTCGCTTAACTTTCTTAGCAACAGAAATTTTAGGCTCAATTGTGGTTGTAAGTTAAGAACTACCTATATCAGTAATGGCGAACCTTTTAGAGACCAAGTGCCCCAAAACTGGCCCTGCCCCTGCTCCACCCCCTGCCCCGCCCCCACCCTGCCTGCCCGCAGGGCCACTCACCACCTCCAGGACCTGCCGCAGATCGCCCAGGCAGCCCAGCAGCGCCATGGCAGCCACGCCCTCTGCCCGCGCCCCACAGCATCAACTGTGCATGATGGGGCGTGAGGCCAGATTCTTGTCTACGCTGCCTGGCTGCCATGTCCTTGGCTGCGCTGCTCCGCATGGGCCACGCTCAGGGGCGACACTCCTCCGGGGGGCTGCTGGTGAGGGGGTTGCGGGGGGAGGCAAGGCTGGGGCAATGGCATGTGTGCCCACAGAGAGGTCTCTGAGTGCCACCTCCGGCACCCATGCCATAGGTTCGCCACCACTGACCTATATGCTCTACAGCAGGGGTGTCAAACTCGCAACATCACGTGACGTGTCGCGACATTGACTTTTTTTCCATTGCCGGCAATGGGGTGGGTGCGGTTTCGGCATGATGCATCCAGCCCGCGGGCCAGCAGTTTGACACCCCTGCTCTACAGCAAAAATACTCTATATATGTTCTCTATGCTCTATATTTCTGTGTTATTAAAAAAAAGTATAATTGTCATCTTTCAGAAAGTCTTAAAGGCCAAACCTATGAAGTTTGTGACTCTCTGCCCTCAACCCTGGCAACAGGATCCTACTTTTCATAATTGAGATAAGCTTCAATTTATGTTTACAAAACTGCATCCTGGGGCCCAATAAGCCATGTGCCAATCTTGAATGCGCCAGTCTTGAATCAGACAATAGGCACAGTATAAATAGAAACTGCAATTTTTTTCAGGTGCAGAGGTGGTTCTGTCAAAGCACATCTTGTTAGGAAGAAACAGTAATTTCTTTTCCACATAATACAAGACTCAAATGTTACAGGCAGGAAACAGATTTTATTTCTAGAAATAGGGAGCCAACATCCATCTGCCTGACTTCCCAGTCAGTCATGGGAGAGTCCTTGGTGCAATTTAACATCCTCTCTGCACTAGATAAAAGTTCCATTTGCATGGCCAGAGTCCCCTTACGTTAGAGTTAATCTACTCTATGCATAACTTGTTATCTTCAGAGTTTTATTATTTTGCTTGATGGTTTTGCATACTTTGAATTTGTCTTAACATATGTTTCAAATACTTATGTCATGATTGCATTTTGATATATAGGAAATAGCTTTTGGTTCTTTGTGGTTTTGCTTATAGTTCTGCAGTGCTGCTTTCAGAGGCTGGCAGTAAATTAGAAACAAATCCCAATCCGGCAACCAGGAAACGAAAAAAGAAGAAACAGATGGCTTTTCCAAATAAGTGACATTCTTTAGAAGCTTACTGGTCTTTATCAATGGAGTTTGCAAGGGAAAGACCTTGGATGGAAATAAAAGTCAACTTTTCAGTCAGTCAGTGTGGACATACTGAAATGGGAACTTGCAGAATACCGGGTTTTGGCAAAAACATTGTAAATCATGGGCATGTGACCACAGGATACTGCAATACCCATAAATGCAGGTCAGCTGCTGAGCGCCCAAAATGCAGTCATGACTTGAGGTTGGGGCAGCCAGTGGAACTTGAAACCAGGCTGTAATTACCTTTTTTGGGGGGGGGACGACTGTGGAAGACCACCTGTATGGAGGTCTTGAGAGAAATTGATGGCTATCCTGTGGAAGAGGCCTCTTTTCAATGTTTGTAGGAAACAGGTATGAAAGGAAAGTGAAAACCACTGGAACAGAGACTAGCATCTTTTATTGATCTGTCAAGCCACTCCAGGAGGCTATTTGGCCAAAAAGCAGAGTAAAAAAAAACATTCTGGCTCAAGCAGTTTTATTTTAAATCAACGTAAGCAAGGAAAAGAAATTGCACAGTCACACTAAAACCCTTGACAGGAATGATCCAAGTCTCCATTGCAACTTTTTAAAAAAAGTCAGCCCATTCTTTTTTATTTTTATGTACTTCATTTCATTCACACACAGCAATATCTTGGTAAACAAAAAGGTGCTCTACCTTGATAGGGTGGGTGGGGACAGTTGCTTCCCAGTTGGAGAAATGACTGGTTCATTGCAGACTTGGGGCACCAAGAAAACACCTCCCCATATTGCTGGCAGAGGACTAACCACCCACCTCTACCGCTGCCTTATGTGGAGGGATGAAATATTAGCGGATATTATTAAGAATATTAGTTAATTGGTCAATATTAACTAATATATTAAATATTGGATGGGATTCTTGAAGATGGCCCTTTTTCCCAACAAAGTTAGTCTCTGTCCCAAGCAATCACTGAAGTGGCCGTTCTTTTACAAGCCACACACCTGCCTTCCCTCCAAATGACAAACACTGACCCAGAATTCATTTTCCCAGCACCACTTAAACGTGCAAGAGCTCTCAAGCATTATGGAACAGACTGAGCCACACTCACATTATTCAACAAACACATGAAACACTGACCTGTGAAGCCCGAGGGGTGGTGGCGGCAAGAAAGCAGATGTTCCCCCCCCCCACACACACACTTCCCTATAAGCCCTGTTGTCTCGTAACAGCACAGGCAAATTGCTAATGAACAACTTTGTACTTTCACACCTCTATGAACCAAGCTTGAAGGAATTTAAAGGCAATTTAGCTTAAATATAAAAATAAAGTTTCGCTTTGTTAAAAAATGTTTAAATATTTTTTTTTAAATTTAGAATTAGGCAGGCTCACGCACACATTCACACCACTGGCAGCTGGCCTGACTTCCAAGAACAAAACTGGCTGAGAAGAACCGTTTTTGTTGCCGAGCTGCTTGTCTACCCGCAATGGCTGACTGCTGCGACTCAAGCTCTTTTTAAGTTGAAAAAAAAATCAGATTTCAGCCAGAGCCCCCTGGGGCTTATGATTTTACTCTTCCGCCTTAGAAATATTTTTCCTCCCTACTCCCAAGACCCAGCACAGAACAAGAACTTCCCACAAAGTCCTGGAGCCACCAAACATCAGGGAGGCAACCTTCCCGTCTTCCTCTGAAGGCTTTGAGTCCAGACCCAAGTTGGCACTTCCAGCCTTCCAAGTTGAAGTCTTCACACTTCGTTCAGCACATGTAGCCATGCAGTGACTGTCCACACCCAATTAGGCAGGGTTCGTCTCCGTTGGAGACAGGTACCCTGAAAAATGTTTACAACAAGTCCGGCATTACCAACATGCCGCCACACATACAATTCAATTCTTCCTCCAAACTCAATTCACAGAGCAATAAAAAAAGAACACAAACATACTGTGAGCAAAACACAGACATTTGAAGGGAAGGAGGGGGGAGGGCAGGGGGAAGGGAAAGGCTGCATAAATGAAAAGCTGTAGGGGTGAATGGCACTGTCTTCCTCACCAAACGCTCATGGAAGAAGCATACAAGTGGGGGAAGATCCCGCTGGGCCTCTGATGCCAAGACGTTTCTCCATTTCATGTCGCCATCCAACCACTTCTCTGCTGTTAGGCTCTGTAGCCACAGCTAACAATGATTAACGTCCCAACTCAGCTAAAACCACATGAAGCCAAAAGGTTTTGGCAAGAAAGGGTGACTATCCCAATGGGACAGAGGGGTCTTACTGTGGACTATGTTTTGATGTGAATTTGGATCAAGGAAGCCCTGGAGATTCTCTGGAAAAGGCTTCCAAAGAGGGAAGAGATTGAGGATGGGAACCAACAATTGGTTTCAATCAGAAATATTTAAATGGCTAAAAGCCAAATACTTTTCCCCGACACCCTACTCCCTTCACTAAGCAGCCAAAAAGGAATGAAGTTAAGGGCAGAGAAAGAAGGGAAGATTAATGGGAGAGATCCACATGGAGAAGGGAAAATAGAGGATATGTACATTTTTTTCATCCAGACTCAGCCATAGACTGTTCAAGTAAAAAGGGCTTAGTTTCTCCTATCCCGTTTGAAGGGGTAAAAATCACTCTTTGATCCAGAATAGCTTCCTGTGGTTGTTACAGAAAAGAGACTCCCAGGACAGTCCAGCTGAAGACGCACACCAGAATAAGTCTTCCTTGGGTAGTATTAGGAGGATCTGACAGCAGATCAACTGGGAGTTGAAATCCAGGCAGGAAGCTGCTCCTGGTTACTTTTTACGAGTATGCTGCCTCCGGGCCTGCAGCCGTTGGCGGGTTCCTGTCTTGGATCCTGCTCCAATGGAGAAGGTGGGTATTGCTGGCCCTGCAGGGACAGAAAAGCAAAAGGTTTTCACAGAGGTGGTTTGGGCATAGAAAGTATGTCAAATAACCTGTGGGGTTGCATAACATGCTACTCATAAGTGATTTCCAGTCTCTGGACTCTTTCGAGGAATGTGCCATCAACGTCTGGTATTTGATGCCAATAATTTTAGATTTAGAACTATAATGTCAACCCTTCCTTATTTTAACAATGTATTTTGTTTTAAATCCCCCTCATCCCCAGGCCCACAAAATAAGCCAAAAAACCCCCTGTTCTTCAGTGATTTAACTATTTGTCTGTCTGATCCCTGCATTCTAAACGTTGCAAAAGGATTGCCCGCCTATTAAACGGAATGGCCCCCTGCCCACCAAGTTCCAAAATCCTTACCAAAAGCAGTAGGTGTCACTCCTCCAAAGGTGGGGGTGATGGGTGTTCCAAAGGAAAGGTTGCAGCTCCCTACTGTGCCACCACCTGGAGTAGTACTTTGCCCAAATGTAGGCGTGGGAGTTCCTAACCATAAAATAGTAGCAAAATGAAGGGTCTATTAGAGAATGAGTTCACATGGAGAAACCAGATCACCAATCCCTGCCTGATATTGTCAGGGATACATGAATGACAGGGAGTACTTTCCCTGAATGTCTTATACAAAAGACAGTTGTTTTACCCCAATACAAGAGCACCAAAGGGGTCTATCAGCCCTTTCCTCTCCTGCACTCTACTTTTCAAGGAGACGGGCATTATCGGCCCAGAAATGCCTGCCTTTCACTCATTTCCTCACGTGAAACTTGCTCCAATCTATGGCTACTTAAATTGGGCTCATTATTTCATTATCTCAATCACCTGCACTTGAAACAATGTTTGTTGTAGTGAGCATAGAGAAACAAATAGGGCTGGAGGAAATGAGACTTGGATTTAGGAGACAGAATGGAAACAGAATTTGGTCCATGTGTGCAACTTCCTGAACAGAAATACAAATTCACCTACTCTCAATGGCTTCGAATACAAAGCTAGGACTTCTAGACCATGCCCTAGGCATCAAAACAGCCCACAGGAATAGTGAAACTAGAAAACGGCAATCCCTGCTAAAGAAAAAGTAGGAATATTGAACAACCAAGAGGCCAAGCAAAGGGGACTCACCTCCGAATGCTGGCTTGCTCTCAGGTGTACTTGGGATGTTGAAAGCAAAGGCAGAGTTTTGGTTCTGGGTACCCAGAGGGTTTTGTGCCAAGGAAGTTCCAAAGGGTGTCACTCCGTCTGCAGCTCCGCTCTGCCCACTGCCGAAACCAAATCCAACCGTGGGCACGCCTGTGCCTGTAGCACTGGCACCAACGCCAAAAGCACTGCCCGCTACACCTTGGGGATTCGATACCCCAAAGGTGAATGGAGCTGGGGTTGAACCTCCAAACACAGAGCTTCCTGTGCTGCTGCTTGTAGTCTGAGTGCTGGATGTGGTGGCTGTCCCAAAAGAAAAGATGGACGATGCAACTCCAAATGCCGGCTGGGATGTATTTTTGGCTCCAAAAGATGCCAAAGGGCCAGACCCTCCAAAAGGGGTCTGCGTAGAGCTACCAAATGCTGGCTGGGCTGCAGGTTGGGCTACTGAGCCAGTGAAGCTGAAAGGAGTCCCAAAGTTCAGTGGTCCTGCAGCCGGTGGCTTGAGAGCTGCCTGCTGGCCCTCAGGGACACCTGCATCAAAAGCCAGCTGGCTTGTAACTGCAGGGTATGGAGGGGGTGGTTTTGAGGCGGCCCCAAAGGTACTGCTGAATGCAGAGGTGCAAGACCCAAAGGTCAGCGGACCCTGTGTGGTGGCTGATGGTGCTGAAGAAGCCTGTGTGGAACTGCTGCTGCCGCCACTGAAAATGCTGAAGCCAGTATTGGTTGTGGTTGTGGCAGCAGCAGTAACAGTGGTGCTGGAGGGTGCCAAGAGATTGACAGTGGCGCCTGTAGAAGTAGCTTGCTTGCCAAACTGGAAAAGAGGCATGGCAGCTGTGCTGGCACTGGGTGCAGCCCCAAACAGCAAGGGCTGGGATGCCAATGTGGAGACAACAGTGGCAGGAGTGCTGCTGCTGCTGCTGCTGTTGCCGGGGGCAGTGGCAGAGGATGGAATGCCCGGCCCAAAACTGAACACAGGTTTGCTCATGGAGACAAACGTCACACTTGCTGTTCCAGGGGGTGACACTGAGGTGGCAGCAGTGGCTTCTGAGAGAACAGGGAGCCCTAGATTGCTTGAGGCATTAATGGCAGGAAGGCCAGATGCTGCTGCTGCTGCCTGAGGGGCCTGACTGAATGTGAAGGGAGAAGATGATGTGGTTGTGGGCAGGATAGCAGTTGCTGGTGTGGACAGTGGCCCAAAGATGGGCTTGAATGTGCTGCTGGGAGCAACAGGAGGTGCCAAAGAAGGCACAGATTGCGCAGTGGCAGAAACCACAATGGTGCTACTTGGGGAGAAGCTAAAGTTCTCACTTTTTGCTGGGCTGCCAAACACTGGTTTGAAAATAGGCACCGTGCCGGGCGCAGAAGAAGATGGCGTTGTTGCAGCTGAGGGCTTGTCGACTGGAGGACTGGTGAGGATCCCAAAGAGGATGCTGGGTTTTGGCGCAGACGAGGGCCTGGATGGAGTGTGGCCCGACTCAGAAGAAGCTGTCACCAAATTGCCTGTGCTACTGGTGGGCAGGGAAGTGCCTGAAGAAGGAGAAGCAGTGGACAGGGGAACAGGTACGTTGAGTGCCAGAGGCTTAGGTGCCTCGGGGGATGTCATCGGCACAGAGGAGCTCAAATCCAGCGAGGCAGAGAAGGCTGGTATCTGAGGACTCCCTTTAGTCCCTGGAACTGCCTTGGCTGGAATGGAGGGAAGAGAAAATGGAGAAGGCACCACATTACTGTAATTAGGAGACACTGTTCCGCAGTAAACCATTACGAAATGTTATTTATTTACATCAGACAATCTGGAATACATAAATGTTAACTTCCCTCCTCCTCTTCTGTATTTATTGCAGAATAGAATTTGTTTCACTTTTTTATAGAAAGAGAAAAGGAGTGATATTTCCACACTTCATCTTTCTTAAACAATCCAACCTGTCATTACAACCAGGGGAGATGCTCAAGAATTAAATTTCTTGTTTGGGAGAAATTCAAATCTAGATTCATCAAAAAGGCAAAAATATTCTGGACTTATTGCCCAGCATGGATGGCGTGTGGAGAACATTTCTTTAGGTTGCATGATAAATATTTCACAATCTATCTTATCCTCTCTTGTCTGGTATAGGCCATTTTGTTCGTTAATCTCTAGAAAATGGTCCATAACAGTCAGCTATTTGGCATTCAGGAGCTAGCTTAGGATTACAAATATCTAATTAGAAATTGTTCAGATAATAAGCAGAAAGAAATAGATAAAAAGCTGATTATTATTCTATAAAACTGAATATTAAAAACATATTTAAGGATTTTCCAAATTGCTCTAAACGTCCCCTGAAAAAGAATATACTCGTCATTTAAAAGAAAACCAATGAATGGACTGAATAGGTCCCTGGAGGAGGGAATTTCTCAAAAGTAGAAAGCTCTGCTTCAAAGCTGGCAATCTGCCAGGCCTAAGGAGTTCAACAGTATCGCCACCATTTGAGTGGGGAACTGAGCTCAAGGGAAAGACTGCATTTTGGTCTCCAGAAACTTTGGTGGGCAAGAAGATCTCCAGTCCTTTTCTCTAAATAACTGGGAAAAATATTTTTAAACAAAGAGAACATTTTTCTATATGAAGAGGTAAGGAACAACCCTTTTTCTGAATGGAAAAGGCTTAAATTGCTTCTGCCTTTCCTCTTTGGCTCAAGAGGAGAAAGGAACAGCCTTGTCAGTTAAGTCTGTTAGCTGAATAGTTTCTGCATTATAAACACAAAGAATTCATGAATTTGTGGGACCATCTGATTTTTTTTTAAGGTAAGGTTTAAGGCTATGAAATTCAGCCTATCTCTGGATCTTTGGAAAGAAAGAGAAGCAAGATTCTGTATTTTGAAACTTGTTCAGAACAAAATTTTTAATGGAACCATCCATAATATTTTAATGAACATAAATCAAAACTCTAACCCTATCCCTTTCTAGAGTCATCAGATTAGACCTAGATTTCTTACGGGAATCTTAGTCCTGATCCCCTTGCATTCATTCATCGCATGGTCACTCAAGCCGTTTCCCGCCTGGACTATTGCAACGCTCTCTACATGGGGCTCCCCTTGAGGTGCACCTGGAGGCTCCAGCTAGTTCAGAATGCGGCCACGCGGGGGATTTGGGGGGCCTCTAGATACTCCCATGTAACACCTCTCCTGCGCGAGCTGCACTGGCTGCCTGTGGCCTTCCGGGTGCGCTTCAAGGTGTTAGTAACAACCTTTAAAGCGCTCCATGGCAATGGACCTAGGTATCTGCAAGACCGCCTCCTACCAAATACCTCCCTTCGACCAGTCCGCTCCCACAGAGAGGGCCTCCTTAGGGTGCCGTCGGCCAATCAATGCCGGCTGGCGACCCCCAGGGGTAGAGCCTTCTCTGTGGCAGCTCCTGCCCTCTGGAATGACCTGCCCCCCGACCTACGTACAACTGCGGACCTGCGCCTCTTTCGCCGAGCCTTGAAAACCCATCTATTCCATGTGGCCGGCCTGGCGTAGTTTTGATTGTGTTTTGGTAGGGGCTTTTATATGGGGTATTTTAGAGCAGTCTTTTTATTTAATATTTATTGTGATTTTTATTATCGCCTGTTCACCGCCCTGAGTCCCGTAAGGAAGATAGGGCGGTATATAAATTTAAATAATAAATAAATAAATAAAATAAAATCCAATTCTATAGGAAGCTGCTAAATACTTAAGAACAGCTTCAGAACCACCAATTTCAGAGCATAGGCCTTTATCACACTCAAATGTTCTTCAAAGACAGGCAGTGAATACCCCTTTCCCTCTGAAATTGCTCACCTGCTTGTGCCGAAGAGCCCTTTCCTTCTTGCATGTTCTTCAGGCTCTCCAGAAGAGGATTGGTTGCGGCAGTAGAGATGGGCAATGACACAGGTGTTGGTTTGGTGGACATCAATGAAAAGTTCAAAGTTTGAGATGAAGAGGTAGTCTCCACGGGTGGGCTTGGGGTGGAATCTGTTGGGAAAACCATTAGAGCTTTCTGGAAATTTCAATGTCACAAGAGTCCACCATCTAGCATCTGCTGACGTTAAAGCCAACTAATGAATCTATGACTAGCAAGAACCAATAGAGCAAGCAAAGAAGATATTTTAAGACTTGCACAGAAAGAGAGTCACCATCATTACCCACTTTTAGTTTGTAAAGGTAAAGACTTCCTGGTCGGTCGTGTCTGACTCTAGAGAACGGAGCTCATCTGTTTCTTGGCTGAAGGAGCCAGCATTGTCCAAAGACAATTTCTACGGTCATGTGGCCAGCACGGCTATATGCCAAAGGTGCAAGGAACGCTGTTACCTTCCCACCAAGGTGGTACCTATTAATCTACTCGTATTTGTATGCTTTCGAACTGCTGGGTGAGCAGGAGATAGGACAAGTAATGGGAGTTCAGCTCTATTGTGTAGAGCAAGGGTAGTCAACCTTGGCTCTTTTATGACTCGTGGACTTCAACTCCCAGAATTCCTGAGCCAGCACAGCTGGCTCAGGAATTCTGGGAGTTGAAGTCCACGAGTCATAAAAGAGCCAAGGTTGACTCCCCCTGGTGTAGAGCTTGGGGGTCTTGAACCTGGACTGTCAGCTCTCCAGCTGACAAGCTCAGTGTCTTTAACCACTGAGTTATCGCACCCCCTATCTAGTTTGTATAAATCTCTTATTTGGGGGGGGGCAGACTCTTAAAGTGCAGCCTGGAGCAGACAACGAGAACACCTACCAATGTTTTCTTCTAAGATTTTGTTGAACCACTGTAGTGTTGCTTTCTTCTCTGCATCCAAGTCTTCTGGGGTGACTGTATAGCCCAGCTGAGGTGGTGGAGGCTGCCAAGAAAATATCTTAAGCATTTGTTCTGAAGGAGCAAGACAGCCCTTTCATAAATAGCACCAAACAAAAGGCAGAGGTGTTCTTCCCTTAGCTCTGGGAATGTATAAATAAACCTACAGATTACATTACTTTAATGCTTCCCACTTTTTTTCTCAAGCATCAAGGCATGTGGCGTGTTTGACTAAAGTCAAAAGCTTAGCAGCACCCATCCTACTCAATTTAGCTATCTTGTTTTCTTGGCTGGATATCTTATCACCTGCCATATGGTGTCTTCTGTACGTCAGCTCAACTATGTGTCAACATTTCTTATTCCTGGAAAAAAGGAGCAGGGAAAGAAAGAAGTCACTGAAGAGTTATACCAAGGCAAAATTATCTCCATGATGAGCTGAAAGTAGCTGAATCTTCCGCTTCCGCTTGCCATTGCTTCCTGATGAAGACGGTGAACTCACAAAGTTGCATTTATTCTTCAAGGGCGAGTCTGAAACTGAGACCAAGTTGACAAATTATGCATGTGGCTACCCAATCAGAAGCAGCTCAGGCTTCTGCAGTAGTAATTATCCATGTCTGAATGCAACATCTTTGAAGGCTTAAAAACAGACAAGCATAATATGAACACAGAGGCTACAAAAAAAGTAAACAGAAAGAGATTAGGCTGATGTACTGTAAGAATATTTATATTTCGGCATTAGCAATTAAAATGTCAATATTTCCTCCAGAGATGTCAAGAGATTCTTAAGTGTTCTTAACAGAACCTCCCAACTGATTAGAAAGCATTCAACAGAGGGAAGAAAGATAGAGAGTTAAGTCCTCTTTTAGCAATCTTCACAGGTAAGAATTGGGACCCAGAATATAGGTCTGAAATATCGAAACACCACATTGCCATTATTGCACTGAGGTGATTTTTTTTTTTTATTCTGAGAAGATGCAAACTCATCCCAATCCATCTGTGTAAAAGTCACTCTAGAGTAGCCTGTTGTGAAATAGACATTCTTCTGCCTTACTGGCAATGTAATTTTTATTTACTTCTTTTTTGCTTTAGGATCCTCCCTTCACACCCCAGACTCAAAGCTGCACCTCAGTTTTGTTCTCCAATCCTTCTTGGCCCATTGCATCGCATCCCATCCCCACCCTTTGAACTTACTCTTCTCTTCCTGCATCTCTTTGTCTGCTGTCACAGGCATTTGCAAGTTGGATTTCTGAGGCTCTTCTTCACTGTAGCAACAGGAGAAAGCAAGTGAAAGAGAATGCTTAATCAATTCCTCTTTTGAACTTCTGGCTCGAAGATTTGCAGAGGGGTGGTCAGAGGTAGGAGGAAGATCTGCCTCCCTCATCCCTACCATTCTTCCTCCCATATACTATTGTCATTCATTTTATGGACAGTAGCTGGCCGTCTGCCCTTTGGATGTTGGTTTGAGGATTCTCAGGGTAATGCAAGCAGACATCTTATGAAAGCAGTCACCCTTGAACTATGTTGCTCTGAAGACCCCCCCTAGTAACAAAAAATTCCAAGCAACAGATTGCAAGACAACAACCCAAATCATTGCACATCCTCAATCACTACTAGCCCTTTCAATTTATCTAATGGTCAGATAAGCTTCAGAAATGCATTCTGGTAAAATGTCATGGAAAAAAATGCTTTCTATTTAAGAGCCAGTTCTTTTTTTCAATAAATACATTCCCTCCTCCCCCCTCAATAAAAGCCCAGATAGGATCTTGCCTATTAAAAACCACAGGCAAAAACCTTCTTTCTTGCAGAAGACGGATCTTCACAAGATGTTTAAATGCAGGAAAGATGTCTTGGTTCAGCCTTATCAATTAAACAAGAGAAGGGAGGAATCATATGCTGTAGATATATCTTTAGAGAGCCAACTGCTGATGTAGTGGCATCAGGCTAGAAACTCAGAGACTGTGAGTTCGAGCCCTGCTTTAGGCAAAGAGTGAACTGGATACCTTGGGCCAGTCACTCACTCTTAGCCCTAGCAAACAGGCAATGTCAAACCATTGCCAAGAAAACTGTATGGATTTGTGCAGGCAGTTGCCGGAAATCAACACTGGCTTGATGGCACGTTAAAAAAAGCATGTTTATGGAAAACGAGAGTATCAGAAAGAGGCCTTAAAAGAATTGTATATTTGATCCTTCCAGTTTCTGATAACCCTAAGTCTAAGGAATATCAAAAGGGTAAAGAAAAGCTGTACTTACGTGATGTTGGAGCTGGGATATCTTGCTTTCTTGTTAGGCCTTTCAGGTGTTTGAGACCGAGAGGATGCTGGGCTGGAAAGAGGAGAGGAACTTGGTCCCGTTCTCTTCCATAGCTAAAGGAGAGAAAATAAATCAAGAAAGTACTATTAGAAACAAGAAGAAGCTCTTTAATACCTTATTTAGGTTTTAAGCAGAACATTTACATATAAATTAACGTAATCCCTTTTGAAATCTACTTACACAGGAGTTGAATGGCAAAAAGAATTTTCCGTGATTAAATGCTGCCACCTAAAACTTATACAGTTATAATAAACTTGCTTAAGAACCCTCATACCACTTTTTATTCTTGAAGCACTATCCAATTACTGGCCCCCGTGACATTGTTGCTCTACTAGGTTCCCCAACTCAATTGTATCTCCTTGTTTCAGTCTCTTGGTAGTCTCTGCCTGGATAGATCGGCATTGAGTATGCTTGTTTGTTCTGAGGAGAAAGTTAGACTTACTCCCCTGACGAGTCTGCCTGAGTATAGCCATTGCAGCTGGCTACCTTCAGGTTTTGTGGAACTGTCAGCCATTGCTAGGATTTGCTGGCTATTTGATTCTAATAGGCTCTTCTAATTCTGTCTGTTGCCTACAAGATCCCTGATTATTTTCTGCATTGGCTGGAGGGTAGAAAGCCAAGGGACTTTGAACAATTCATGAGAGGCTGCATGTACTCCACTTTTATTATTTGGATGGATATATGATGAAGATATCATCCAGGTATGGATTTCCATATGTGCCCTGCAGATTCAACTATCAACTGGGACTGTCAAAGTTACTAAGATCTTAGTAAACAACTTGGATAACAATTATCAGACTGGATGAAAGGATTTAATGTAGTAGTATAACGCGCAGCATACAAATCAGTGGCAAGGTTTGTCCACCTCTGATAAATCCACCAACTAAGAAGCAACTCCAGACCCTCTTCTGAGAACTTCTATTCATACTCATCAGATCCCATGAAAAGCTTGGATTGAATTCATAGATCATTTTACAATAATTTATGAGAACTGGCAAACTAAACTTCACCGATCTGCAGTCATATTTTCACTTCATTTTAAGAGTAAAATCCCTTTATTGCCATATGTATTCTTCTAATTTGAGAACACAGAAAAAACTAATATTTGTATGCAGATTAGTCAAGTTTTGTTCAAGAGAAGAGAATAACCAGTTATCATCACATCTTTGTTCTGGGAAACACAACTGGGAAATACCTACAGTGTCTCATGCATTAAAGGAGTTAATCATGTAACAATGCACCTGTGAGAGACCTCTGGTGGAGCTGTATGAGCTGGCAATAGCATTGCGGAGAGAGCTCGGTATACCACCCACATACAGACTGTTCACAGAACTGAGGGAAGAAGTGCGCGATCTCTTGGAGGAGCAATCTTCTAGGCAGTGGGAAGAAGCAAGTCCCCGCTTCAGAGAGCCAGGCCTAGAAAAAGAGACAGAGATAATAGGCATGCTGCAAGGCAATTAGATGGATTTTGCAGAAGCACAACTTCCAAAGTGCAATGAGGAAACTTATCTTGTTTCTTATGGTTTTATGAGCACAGAGACTACACAATACATTTCCAGCAGAGCCAAACTGGAATTTTTTTCTCCAGGAAAAAGCCCTTGGAATTATGTTCCAGCTTTCAGAGGCCATTTATCCAACTCAAAAAAAAAAAATCACCTTTTCTTCTGTAACTTCAAAGCTACAGAATGCATTCTCCCAGGAGCTGTACTCAGTCCTACCTTTGAAAGATTTGTGAAGCTACATCTCTTTAGCCAGGCATTTAAAAACTTGTTTATATAATTACCTTTCATACATCTAGAGCCCCCCCCCGCATCTCCTTCAAAGAGGGATTTTGGGTGATGTTCAACATAATATAACCAGTAACTAAAACAACATAGAAAAATTAATAGTAAAATTAAAAATTAAACTTAAGCTAGCCTTTTAATGTTGGATTATTAAAAGAAGAAGGGGCTCTCAAGGGACTAGCCAATCCCATGATTGTGTGATCCTGTGGGCCCCCTATGCAAGTTCGCAGAGTTTTGATCCCTTTGCAGAAGGCCAAGAGACTGGGGGCTTTCCTCATCTCTGGGAGCAGGATGTTCCATAAAGTGGGGAAAGTAGCAGAGAAGGATCTCTTCCTAGACCCTACCAGTTGAAATTCTTTGACTGACGGGGTCTTCAGCATAACTTCCCTGCCTGATTAAATCAGATGGACTGATGAGATTGGCAGAAGCTGATTCCGTAGGTACCTTGGTCCTATGCCATGCAGGGTTTATAGATGATAACCAAGACCTTGAATTGGACCAGAAGCAAAATGGTACCCAGTGTAGTTTGCGGAGCAAGGGTATTATATGTTCCCTTCTTCTGGCATCCAGCATGGCTCGTGCACCTACATTCTGTACCACTGAAGTTTCCACCTACTTTTCAGAGGTAGCCCCCTATAGAGCGCATTGCAATAGTCCAAGCAGGAGATGACCAGAGATAAAGACTCCCTGTCCAGGAAAAGGCATAATTGGAGCACAACACGGAGTTGGGCAAAGGCCCTTCTAGCCATGGCCATCACCAGAATTTCGAGCAGAGGACCACATTATGCATCAAGTTTGTCTGGGATAGTACAGATAGTACAATCCCATCCAAGACTAAAGATGATAAATTCCTGGGTACCCTAAACCTAACCCACTCTGTCCTACTGGGGTTCAATTGAAGTCTGTTGTTTCCCCATCCAGATCCTGCAGTCTTCAGGCATTGTGAAAGGAGGTCCACTGCAACGCTCACTTCACCCAGGACTGAGATATATATCAGTATGTTGGTGATACCTTACCCCATGGAGGTAGATGATCTCACCCAGCAGTTTCATGTAGATGTTGAGAAGGAATGGAGAGAACACCAAACCCTGTAGCGTTCCATAAACGAGGGGCCATGAATTGAACTTCTCACTCCCTATCAACACCAACTGGGACTGGCCTCAAAGGAAGGAGGTAAACCAGACAAAATTGTGCTGTCCAACCCCAACTCCTCAAGTTGCCCAAAAGGATACCATGCTTGATGGTATCCAAAGCAGCTGAGAGGTCAAGGAGAATAAAGATGGAAGAACCACCTCCATCCTGCTCCTGCCAGAAATCATCCATGAGTGCGACCAAGGCCTGTAACCTGGCTGAAAAGATCTAGATAATCCATTTCCTCCAGGATCCTTTGAATTGCAATGTCACCATTTTCTCTACCACCTTTCCTAAAAATTCCCATTTTACCTACTTCACTAATTCATTTAACTGGATTACACACATACTATAATCTGGATCCTTCAACTGACAGAAGTAACAACTGAGGAGAAAACGGTTTAAACATGTCCCCCAATGAACGGTCTCTTCTCCAGAATATACATGGGATCAGTTGTTAGCATTATAAAAGGAAAACATTTCTCATTCTCACTTACTTGGGCACAAGAGATGCAGGTGCTCCATTGGCCACCAAGGGCTCAAATGCAGAATGACCACTTCCCGTACTATCATGGCGCCTGCAGAAAATAAAAAAGATTAAAAGGATGATTTCTGGTGGGAACAAGAACATATCCTGTCTATCAGCAACCCCAAAAATCTCTGGTCCAACTGGGTCACTATAATGAACATATTCAATTCCACCAATAGGGAGGCTGATCAATCAAAGGGAGAGAAAACACATGTTGGCAATTTTTAAAAGATGAATCAGAAACAAATTTCAATTTGGAAAAGTTATTTAATATTTTAAATATTTAAACTGTTTTCAAACTTTAAATGCCATGAGTAATAAAGTTCCAGTACTCATTATGGCATCTGCAATACCCCTTCACTGCAGGGGAAAAAAATCTCCAGGTATAGCAGTCTTATTGAAAATAATATGTACAAAGTCTATGAAACAATTTATTGGCTTTATATAAATGTCCTAAAATATCAGAAGATCAAGAAATACAGCTGCAGTTTCTGAAAATAAGTTATCTGTAGTCAAAATAACTGGTTGGTTTCCTAACAAAGAAAAACATCCCAAATGATTGGTCCAGATACGTTTGTTACAGAGAACATTTGATATTAGATGGCTCAAAACTATACTAAGGTGCACATTCCTGTCTGCCTTTGACAGATTTTTTCAATCATCAGCATGGTAGTATTTGGAGTTAAGTAAAGCGTGAGGCAATCTGATAGTAACTTACAGAAGGTACTGGAGAAAATATTGCTGCAAGCATTTTGATTCTTCTAAGCTGTTGCTTGGCAGAACAAGTCCTGACCGCAATTTGTTTACACACAAAACTGTATGTTTGCTACAAATCTATTACCTGTTTGTTGGAGTGCAGACCTTGCTAAACCTTTCATGCAGAACCTTTACAAGGGATATGGAAGAATATCTGTCTTGATCTGAGGATTAAAATACTAAAACTTTCCCTTAGGCAAACAGTATTGCTATGATCCATCTCAGAAAATATTTTGTTCAGATTAATGTTGAGTTCCATTCAACTTTAACCAAAGCGTTTAACTACTGTGCTAATTTTCTGCAGCAACCAGGAGACCATTAGCCATTACCTCTTCTTGTTCTCCTGACCACTTGGAAAGTTCTGCTCCTCCTCTTCTTCCTCCACAGCTCTCTTCCGGCTCTCTTTGAGAGCATTCAAGACAGTTTCTTTTGCGCATGGATCCAGGATAGTATTAGATGCTGAAGAGAAAGCCACAGGAGAAACCAACTGCTCCAACCTGTCAGATGAAATGGCAGTAGTCACAAAAATATGAATTTCCTCATTGTCCATAGGATACCCCAGGAACTAAGTTATACCCATTCCTCATGCCTACAGGACCTATCCAATGGAATTCCGGTTGAAAACTGGCTGAATATAGGCAGTCTGTTCACATCAGTTCAGGATTTACTTGTGACCTCACAAAACACTTCTAAGGCAATATGATGAGTGGTTAAGAAGTCATTTTAAGGCCAAGAATTGTGGAGGCTGATGACAGGAAGAAGAATAGCTCAGTCAGTTCCACTAGTCAACTAACCAAGATGTGTCCTAAGTAACTGGGCCACAAGAAAACAGCTTAAGAGACTGCCAGGCTTTCCACAATATTTACATATATCACTATAAATCAGGAAGAGGAATGAGAAATGAGATCACTCTAAGAGAAGACTTTTCTGCTGTCAAGCCTGCAATCCTAAAAACTGCCCAAAAGCAATTAGTGAAGCAAACTCACAGTGGAGAACGGCCAATGTTGCTTTCTGGCCGAGCAATCTTCACTGTTACAGGGCTGTGGGCCATGCTAGAATGGTGAATAGATAGCCTGTTTTTCCGCCGATACTCATCCCAGCAAATTGAAGGCAGGGTTCCCAACGCAGCATATTGGGCTTGCTGGATAGGATAGCGTCGCCGAGGAGTCAGCATAAAACGAGTTGATGGACTCAGGTGATCCCTGGAAAGAATGGAGAATAAAGCATGTAATCAAAGAAAATGGAGAAATGATATAAGCAGCAAGCCTGTCCCTGTAAAAAATGCCAGCAGGAAATGCATCTCAGACCAAATATACAGCATCTTTTATATCTATTATATTTATTACTTAGTTTTGTCAGCAAAGGATACAGAAAACCAAAATGCTTTAAGTCCTGTTTCCTCATTCAGCAACAGAAAGATATTACTTCCCATCAGTTCATACTGTAAAGTTATTTTAAAGTGCAAATAGAAAATCTATCACACTATTCTCAGAACATCAACCTGAAGATCAATACATCTAGAAAGTGAGAGCACTGTGTATACAAGATGGTTTGCAGCAAACTTCAATCATGGAATTCATTCACTTATTTTTGAGTTGAATTTTTATCTAATTACCCAATTTAAGTGAAAACTGAATCACTGGAGAATACTGATTTACAATAAGGACAGAACATCTGTCGTGCACGCATAATAGCTGTTTACCTCAATTAATATATTCAGCCTGGCTTACAACCTTGAGAAAAACCTTGATTCAATAGCATGATCCACTTAGACTTCCAGCTCTCTCCCTTCCCTCACATCTGGTTTGAATACAATATGAGAAAGGTGGCAAACGTGCCATAGACACATGCAGTAGCAAGGGAATTTGAGCTTCTGCACCAGGAAACCCAGAGCACAGATGGAAGAGGAAACTGACAAGAGCTCTGATAAGGCAATGGTAATGGATGAGGGAAAAGGACAAAAGAACATCTTGGAGAATGCAGTGAAATCAAGCTAAATTTAGTATCAGAATGAACTGAGAGATAAAACAATAAAACATAGTATGATGAAGATGCTGTAATTAAATTATTCCTTTTCCCCAGGCAATGTAGAGCATCTCACCTCTCCAAATTTGTTTTTTATTTCCCTAAAACCAAGGTCAAGCAAAACAGCAAACATCTGACCAACACAATGAAACATGTATAGAAGAAGAAGAAAAAGAGCCTCAGTAAAGGAGAAAGAATGTGATGAGAACAGGGTATCTGAGGGACCGGATGAAATTGTAACAATTACAAAAAAAAACACCTATTAATTACAGGAAGCCCATAAAATAGGAGAAGATACAAAGTAGAAAGAACAAAAAGAATGCCCTTATGAACAGCAAAAAGTAGTCCAACTTCTATAGGAGAAATGACTTGTTCTGAATACAAGAGGTTCCACTTAGAGCTCTAGCAAATACCAAGCTCAACTGACTGGTCCAAAATATGCTTTTGTTCCATATGCCTCTGTGTGTGTGTGTATTTGTATTTTTATGTAAATATACCCACTCAAATTAGAGCATATATGCTGCAAATATGCGCATGCAGTTTGAATGTATACAGCTACATTTTCCCATAACTGTATACAAGCAGATGAGGAGAAGAGAAGCAGGTTCTAGCCTTATTTTCTCCAGGGATTCCCTAACCAAGTTTGAAGGAAGGGAAAGCATGTCATTGGAACATTGCTGGGTACCCAAGGAAGGAGAAACATCTACCCAGTCAAGTGCACGCTCCTCTTCCCTTTCACAACTGGGAAACCCAAAGAACCCTGGCGAGATTGTTCCAAATTCCACAGTTCCACCTCCATTCTGGCAGCACCGGCATACGGAACATGGATAGATTGCAATGCAATCCCAGCAGGGCTCGTCTTAGGAAAAAAAAAGCGGAAAGGGCGAGAGGGGCTCCACTACAATTCCCTTACCCGCAAACCTGCCCCCGCCTCCTTTCAGGCACGAGCAGTTCGGGCGAGGAGTAGCTCACGGAGGGCCCCCCGTTGGCGAGGACCGTAACGCTACTCTTGGAAGCAAAGGAGATGCGGTGGGTCAGCAAGGGGGTCCCCCTCCGGTCCTTGCTGCCGCCTAATCCCGAGGATGCTATCCAGGATCCCGCAGCCGCCGCTGCCACGATCAGGGAGAGCGCAGCTCCGGAGAGGCCCAACACGAGCACCAGCAAAGAGAGCGACGCCGCTGCCAGTCCCGCCACCGCCAGCACTGCCACGGGAAAGGCCCAGGCTCCCTCCAGAAAGCCGGAACCGGCAGCCGCCCTTCTCCTGGGCCGCTGCTGTTGCCGCCCCCGCCGCCGCGACGGAGGCCACCAGCCCCAGCCGGGCGCCGGGCCGCCCCGAGACATCGAGGCCGCGACGGCTGTCTTCCCTCCTTCCTCGCACGGTTCCCCTTTCCTTGCCCAGCATGCACCGCGCGCCAAAGAGAGCGAGCGAGCGAGAGGCAGCCGGGCAGGCGAGCTGGGGTGGGCGTGGCCTCGAGGTTGAAGGAATTATTAGCGCGAAGAGAAAGGAGGCGTGACTCGGGGAGGCGGGGCGTCTCGTAGAGGGGGAGGCGGTTGCGGGCGGCGTAGAGAGCGGGAGAGACCTGAGGGAGCGCTGCGCGTTTTACTGACTCGTGTCTGAACTCGCTAACTGACCGAAAGGTCCCCTCAGTGCGGCTTCTCTTTCCGCCCATTTCCTTCTGAAGGGAAGGAACAACTCATGTCACCCTAGATCAGGGGTAGGCAACCTTGGCTCTTTTATGACTCGTGAACTTCAACTCCCAGAATTCCTGAGCCAGCATGGCTGGCTCAGGAATTCTGGGAGTTGAAGTCCACGAGTCATAAAAGAGCCAAGGTTGCCTACCCCTGCCCTAGATGATGGGAAATAAAAGCGACTGCACAAGCAAAATCCCTCCTATCTCTCACTTATTTCCAATGGGGAATACTGGAGCAATAATTTTGTGTTATACCTGCTGATGGCGCTTTATGTTACCGTAGTGTAAAGAGCAATTTATAGTATTGCCGAGGGCAGAGTCTCCAGCACTTTTAGTATCTATCGGTAAAGTTAAGTGTTTTCGAGAAGTTGTTGATGTGAAAAGCACTTCAACAGCAATTCAAGAATTCTCAAAGATAATAGAGTGTAAAGGTTCAGTCTGCAAAATATTCAAAGCTGGTTTGAGAAAAGGTCAAGGAACACGAGACATTGCTGTCCAGATCAGGGCTTTTCAACCAGTGGTACAGGTACCACCTGTAGTACATTGGCACCTGGCAGGTGGTACGCGACCATCCTAGAAAAGTGGTAGCGGGGGAGGGAATGTTGCAGCATCTCCAGGGTCTTGTGATTTACATTCAGATGCTTGGCAACTGATTCATATTTATGATGGTCACACTGTCCCAGGGTCATGTGAAGTGACCAAAACCTGCTGCAACCACCCAGCAGACGGGGGGGGGGGGGGGTAAAAACCAAACACCCACCACCCTACCCCCACTGCCGATCCTCAACTGAAATGCTCACAACAATGAAAACCTCGGACAGGAGGAAGAGTGTCGCCGGGTGGGCAGGCAGGTGTCTTGCTCAGCTGTGGCTTGGGGGGCACTTTTTTCAGTGCCATTGTAACTTCAAACAGTCACTAAGCGAACTGTTGTAAGTCGAGGACTGCCTGTACTTTATCACTTTTTCCTCTTTTTTGGGGGGGGTCATCAAGTTTATGACACCTTGCTAGGCGACTGGTGGTACTCGGATGTTGCATATCCTAAAAGTGGTACAATGGATAAAAAGGTTGAAAAGCCCTGGTCTAGATAATTGAGAAAGCCAAGAATAATGTATCAATCATATCAAACTGAAAAATGCTCAGAAAATTGGGAATCCCAGAATATTTCATTGTCCTAATGAGAAACATATATAGGTTAGGAATGGGCAGAAAATGGGGAAACTGACTTCACGTTGTTGTTAATTGTGAAGTCGTGTCCGACCCATCGCGACCCCATGGACAACGTTCCTCCAAGTCTTCCTGTCCTCTACCATCTTTTGGAGTCCATTTAAGCTCACGCCTACTGCTTCAGTGACTCCATCCAGCCACCTCATTCTCTGTCATCCCCTTCTATTGCCCTCAATCTTTGCCAGCATTAGACCCTTCTTCAGTGAGTCCTTCCTTGGCAAAGGAAAAAAGACTGTATAGTCTCCTCTTGCTTATTCAATTTATATTCAAAATATATATTAAGGGAAGCCTGGTTGGAAAATGAGCCTGGTCGGAGGAAGAAAATTGGAAAAAGAAACACCAATGCTTTGCTGATGACACTACCCTGATGATAGCTGAAAATGTAGAGGATCTGCAAGCCAAAGTAATGAGTCATGGAGCAAAGTGAAAACACGATGGGACTAAAATATAAAGGCTGAACTAATGGCCGCAAGTAGGACAATCCGTCTTAGACGAAGATATTGAAGTGGTGGATAGCTTCTGCATTTTAGGATCAACCATCAATGGCAAAGGAACAAGTAGGTAAGAAATACACCTCAGACTAGTTCTTGGGAGAGCATCCATGAAATCCTTGGAAAAGATATTCAAATGCCGTGATGTATATATATATACCTTAAAAATCAGAATTGTGCAAGCCATGGTACACTCCGACATTGTAAGGAAACCAAGGTTTGAAGAAGCAGGATAGGAAGTCTTCCTCTCTAAGGAAATGTTGTTTTGTATTGGGAATTTCAGGGTTTTTTTTTAAATTGAAAAAGCAGTTAAGTTGAAGGAATTGCTTCCATTTTTTTTTGATTGGCCTTAAGGGCTGAGAATTGGGACCATAGAAAATTATATCCGTTTTTAAATAGAAACAACCATTTTTATTTGTATTAAAATGGCATAAAAAGGCTTAGCTGAAATTCTCCAGCATAACTGAATTATGGCAAATAAATGGACATCTGACTGACCTGACTGTCTTAGCACCGAGTTTATACTTGATAACCAGTAAGAGAAGGTTCAGGAAGGGTAGCAGGAAATAAAATGTGAGGATAAGCAGTGCCCTCCTGGATCCAGCCCTTGTTTTGTTACCCTTCTCTGAACCTTCTTTAACTCCTCTATGCCCTTTTTTATAACTGGCAACCTGAATTGCACACAGTATTTCAGATGCAATCTTACATGCCTCTGGGGCCTGGTGCTTTATTTATTTGTTAAATTTATTTGCCGCTCATCTCATGGGGCTACTCTGGGTGGCTTTGTTGAAGATCAGTTTGTCAATAAAGCCTTATCACCCCTATATGGCTAATTTTATCTGATCCCCTTCCTGAGAATCGGGTGAGCCCCAGGTGTCCACTATTTGAGTGGACAGTCCACTATTTTCACATTATGTTCACTATTTTTTTTCACAAAATAGTGGACATTTTTTTTTATTCAAAAGCTTTATGATGAAATGGTACGTAATCTAAAGCTGTACAGTCTACTTTTTTTACTACTTAACCCCCCCCACCCCCGCTTGTCTACTATTTTTTGGAAGCAGACCTGGCAACCCTATTCTCCTGTGAAGATAGAAAATAAAGTATTCATTGTTTCTCTACAATGTTTTTTAATCTTAGCACAAGAGCAAGGTCCAGTTCCTCATCTGAACCACACACAACTAGAATCAATATTTTAATGCTATACAGGGTATTTCTATTCTGGTAGTCAGGCAATGCTTTTGCACCAATGCTTGGGTGCTAGCTTTCCATCATAATATAACATAGGAGAACAAAATCAGTTGCTATGAATTTACATAATTCTGATATCAATTGCACAAAGTCAATATATGTTTTTAGGTATGGGAACTGCAGTCTAATGAGAAACTGTCACTTTCTCAGATGAATGCAACTTTTTCTAGGCTAGAGGTTGCCCTTGGTTTTTGAGTAGTGTATTGAAGGTCACCCTGACAAATCAGTGGGTCAGAACTAAAACATTTGATAATATATATGCGTTTAATAACACTTAAATGTATGTCTGAAGTATATTTAGTCATTTCTCCCACCCTATTATATTAAAAATTGCAACTGAATAATAAACTGAAAATCTATGGCTAAGATTTTACAGGGCAATGCGTGACCCTCATCTTGTGCCTTTCTGATCTATATAATATCTTGTTCAGCCAATTTAAATTTGGATGCTGCTTTTTGCAGGATTCATAGCTAGTTAAAAAAAGTACACTAAAGGCAGTACTACAATTTTTAAAACTTCCAAAAAATCAAAACCCAATACGAGTGGGTTGAAATATTTATTTAAAAATTGAACACACACATGTAACATATTATACAAAGAAAAATGTATTTAATACAATAATTAAAAGTTTTGTTGGAAAGAAAAGAGCTGGCTGCCTGGGTCAGTTGTTGGATATTGGGCCCAAGGTAGCATTTTTTTTTGTCATTTAAGGAAAACTGTTCTAATGGAAGTTTATTCACTACCACCTGCTCGATTTAGGGAAAGTTTAAAAAAAAAAAGAGCAAGCACTGAGGAAGTCACTTTTCTAGCACAACAAAACTGTTCTTATCCAAGTCTCACATTAAATGACTTAGTTTTCTTCCTTTTTATCTTCCACATGCAAGGCCAGTCAGCCTGAAAACCTGAGGTAGTTGGGGAGGGCACCAGACGTTGAAGGGACGTCCCTGGAAAGGCTGAGCAAGGGCATTTCAGCGCCATAGGAAATGCCTCATGTGCTGTGGCAACAGGATAGTACCTGATGTTTTGGAGTGAGGCAGATAGGCAGCTGATTGGCCTCATTCAAGCTGGCGGTGGGAGAAGTGCTATTTGGTATTTGGGCTGCCAGCCGTATGGCAAGGCGACCTGGGGCATAACAGGCACCAGTATTTGATAGGCTGGTTGGCCTATGCAGTGCTTTTAGGAAAAAAAACTTGAGGGGAAAAGAGAAGATAGGTGGAGAGACCCTTTGAGAAAGAAGAGAAGCCCTGGGTCTTTTGCCACCTCCCCAAATGGCAGTGTGCAATAGATAAGCTTATCTGAGTTGGAGACAGAGTTAAGAGATTGGCAAAGAGTTAGATATGCCAAAGGCCATGGCAGCTCATTCAGGAACCAGATTTATGAGCTTCTCTAGTTGAAGGCAAAGCCAAAACAGCCTCTAGTCTCCATAAAATAGCTGATACTAGGCTCAGTAGCCTTCTCATGGCTTCTTCTAATGTTGAACTTCCAAAAAAAAAACCCAGGTCCCTTGGCAGCACCTGCTAAACATAAGCACCACTTCAGAGACATTTTAGGCAACACAAGTTAGCCAGATTATTCTACTTTGATCACATCCTGAAGGCCCCCAACCCTATGTCTGACATACATCAGCCAACTTGCAGAAATCAGTAGAGCAGCCCTACCCAAAACACCAGAAAGATACATGGCTTCATGCCGATTGCCCCATCTGAGATATGGAGCAGACTTGATTAGATTGTTCCCTCACCAGTCTTGCTTCACTTAGGAGACAGTATAGGTTTTGCTGCTCATGTTTTTCTGTTGTCTGGCTGACAATAGTACTAGTCCACACAAGTATGATGGAAGTAAATAAAATGTTCTGTATCTGACAACCACTAAGACAGCTTTTACTAACCTAATGCCAGACTACAGATGTTCTTCACTCACGACTTCCTTTGGTATAACATTTTGCCTGATGCTGGTGGAAGAGCTTAGTCCTCAGGCCCTTCTCTATACAGCAAAAGCAAGACCGAAAGGAAATATCCAATGTATAGGCAACAGCATTTTTATTCTTCTTTTTTCTGCTTTTTCTTTCCTTAGAGTCTCACAGTGATCATGAGGTGCCTGAGGCAGCTGTCATGGAAGGCAGTGGTATAGAAGGCAGTGGGAAACCACATCATCTATAAAACAATCCAGTTCACCTTCCAGGTGGCACAGCTGCCTAGTACTACTGGTCATTTGTTAGATGGTTGAAGGAAAGCTAACAAGCTGTGCTGAGGTCATCTGGCTCTAGGCAGCTTCTGCTTTGCTCATGGAGTACAGGTGATCAAAAGGCCAACTGGCTGGTATGTGGACTAACAGCTGGTACCCCTAACAACTGTCAAATATAAAGTCAGTTCCTTGGGCCCCTTCAGCTTCCCTTCCCCACTAGCAATTCCTACTTCTAGATTCTCAGTTGTTTATTGCTGCTCAAAGCACAGTGAACTACTCTGAGGCAATGGGCAGGGTTCCCCTTTGTTGGAGCAAGGCAGGATGGGGTAGCAGAATAAGAACAGAAAAGATCGCAGTTCCTGAGATGTGGCAGACCAGGCTACATAAACCCCTCTTCTGTAGAGGCTAAAGTGGCCCTCAGAGAGATGGGTACCTTTATCTATCGGTCTGGGTAGACTCAGACTTTTAACCATCATCCTGCCACCATCCTGGGTCTGAGAAAAGGCAAGCAAAGAGAATGGGCAGCAAGATCAGCACTGTCCCTGGTCTGGTATAGAGCCAAAGTTAACAAATCAAAGGCTGTGCAAAATAAGGAAGTGACCTGGGAAGAGGAAATCCAACTCTGCAGAAATGCTGTAACACACAGATGAATGCAGGATTTGTGTTTTATGGCTATGGCAGGGCAGTGCTATGGATGCTGTTGTGGCTAGGAAACTATTTTTCTCCCCTAAAGCTTTGCTGCTCTCTTCTTAGTCAACAGAGAACCCTGCAGGGCCAGCCCCAAGTATGAATGCATTGTTGATGAGCACAGGCTTTGTGGTATATTCAAATGAGTTCATCATTCATATTCAGAAGTAATCACACCAACTGAAGGGTCTTCTCTGGCTGCTTTCTCAGAGATCCTAATCTGCACCTGAAGAACAAGAGGAACAATTATTATTTCAGTTCTATCAGAAAGGGGGCAAATCTTCACACAGGTTTCAACTCTCTTTGTGAGCTAAGGCAATTGAAATATTTATGGAAGGATTACAAACCTGAAAGGTGCAATTATAAGGGCGTGACTTGTACAGCTTCCCATGGAAGACCTTATTCAGGACTGTAGTCCTGAAATCATTGTCTTTGTTTATGTGGGTAAAGAATCTTAGCATTGAGTCACAATCTACTTCAGTTATCCCCAGCCATAGTGTACACAAATAAAAGGTCTTATTTTATTTCATTTATAGGCCAAGTTCAAAGACGCAGTCCCCATTCCCGTTAACTTATTCCTTGGACTTACAGATATATCAGATCGGAATGAATTACTTCTGAACCACTGTGTCATCTCAAAGTGTTCTAGTTCAAAGAATTAAGGGACAGATGCCAATGATGTTCCTTTTCCTCTTAATTTCCAAAATACCAGAGAAAGTAAGAATTGCAAGAACAGCTAAAGCATTGCAACTGAACAATAAAACGTGTGGCTAAAGCAATAAATGAACTCTAGTTTCTGGAGCCCAAAATGCAATACATGAGCTTGTAAATCACATATTTGGAGAGACATTTAACAGGCCTTACTTACCATTCTCATCCCAACCCTCAGCTACGCCTCCCAGCTCATAGTGCTTCTTACGGAGCTCACCCAGGCGCTGGCGTTCCTTCTGCAGTTGGCTTTCCAGTTCCAAGACTCGGACCTAGCAGGAAAGATATTACTTTTCATAGCACCAGGCCCTTTTCTGACCCCTTCCTATACTATCATCTTGTCTCTTCTCCAATTGGCCAATCATTCTTCCTTCTCTATTACATTGCCCACTTTACCTGAGAGTCCATTTCTTGGCGTTTGATCTGTGTTAGTGTCATGTCAGAGAAGTCCATGCTATCTGTAGGGGAATATCTCACTATTATTCTCGTTAAAAGGTGCCGCTCCCCAGCCCTACCCTCAATTGGCTGAGATTTCTTGCCACATAGCTGGCAAGCATAACTGTGCCAACGGACCACAGGCCACTGGATGAATATGAAAGGTAACTATATTCAGAGAGAGCCAGAGGCCTTTTAACACTCACCCTTATAAAATTACTTCTCAAGAAAGGAAAGGGGCTTTTGTCATCCACCTGTGCACTGAAGAAAAATTACCTTTCTCCTGTATTTGTGATTTTCCTGACTTAGTGGAAGCCACTACTCTGGCTGTTGCCTGATTAACTCCTCGAGAGGCAATC